ACTCGTCCCAAGATGGCCTCTGGTGGGACAGGGCCATCCTTGCTGGGCATCATCCCGACTTTCTGGGATGCTATTTTTTGCAGAGAGCAGAGGAGCAGCAAAAGCAGCACAGCACAAGCGAGGGACGGCACAAGGACCGTGGGAGCGCAGAGCTGGTGAGTGCCTCTCTGGTGGCTTCAGCACTTGGTGGATAATGGGAAGGAGCCAGGTGCCCCTGTGCATTTAGGAATGGCTCATCTGCATCTCACTATGGTGACAAACCCTGAGATCAACGCGTGGAGCTGGGCTGATGATGGCAGTGATGCTACAGTGGTGGGGTCAGGCCTTGGAGGTGACCTGCAGGGCTGGGAGGCTGGGGGTCTGTGTAGCTCTAGGCTGGCTGTGAGCCCTCAGTGCCCCATGTCCTGCCCAGAGGTGGGGGTGTCTATGCCCAGACCTTTGCCCTGGACCGCTGTGGCCTCAGTGCTTCATTGAGCACTGATGGGTGGGCTCAGGTCATTCCAGCTCCTCACTCGGGCAAGGAGTGAGTGAGATCTTGTAGTTCTTGGAGGGCAGAGGGGCAGCCCAATGACTCCAGAGCTGGTCCATGCTGGGTCACACAGCCCCACCAGCGTGCCTGTGGCTCCTCTGAGCCCTGCTGGACTCATTGCTCTCCAAGTGCTGGAAGGATAAAATACGGGCTTGCATATGCACTGGAAGCAGCATAAAAAAGACAGAGCACAACCGGTGGCTGCCAATGGCTCTCTTTCTGGGACGCCTTGGGAAGTCTAGATGTCACACAGTGACCAGCGCTGTGGAAGCTGAATTAGACACGTGCCACCATGTCCTGGAAGGGCAAGGTGGCTGTGTGACAGTGGCTTGCTTAATTCTCATGGCACTGGGAAGCCCAGGCAGCAGAAAATTGTTTTTGAAATGTCTCATTTTGGCCTTAACTTTTTAACCTAAAATAGCCTTTAAGTAGATGATGGTCAGGATGTTCCTGGGTGAGGACACTGCTCTCATTTCAACCCTGCGTGAGCTGAAACCCACCTTTGTCTGCCTAGTGCAGATGCAGCCGTCCCCAGCTGTCCCCAGCTGGGTGGATGGCTTTGCCAGGGAGGTGTACGAGGCTGAGCTGTGCAGAGACCCCGAGCCCCGTATTTACACTGGAGCACATTGCCTTGTTCCAGCTCCAGCTCCAGCTGGTTGCCCTGATGCTGCCAGCCCCATGCACGGTGATTAAACGAGCCACAGTAGCTGTGCTGGAGTGGACAAGTCTTTTGTTTCAGTATTTCATATAAATCACAAATCGTTAGAGTCAGGTCCAGATTTCCCATCTCCCGTGGTGCCATGAGCCCATCCCTCCTGGCAGCCTGCTCCTGCCTGGCCACCACCACGGACCAGAACTGTCTGGTCCCACGGCTGAGGATCCCGGGCACAGGGCTCGTCCTACAGCCATGGTCTGCAATGGCTGGAGCAAAGCTGCTTCGTCCCCGCTGCATGGGGCACTGTGAGATGCTGAGGAAACTCGTGCCCTCAGTCCTGGCTCCCGGTCCTCTGCCAAGAATAACTGCAAACACTTTGCAACCTCCTTGCCTGCTTTTTTCCCTCAGCCCCAGTATTTGCGTTGGTGCCACAGGGCCGATCGCATGTGGCCTGGGAGGTGGCGTGTCCCCAGCCCAGCCTGCCAGCACCGGGCACCTGTGAGGACCGGGGACTATGCTGAGGGGTCAATTCCTGTCGGTTGTGGTGATGGTGCTGTCAAATGTGTCCTCCCTCCTCCTCTTGGCAGCACAGCATGCAGTACCAGGTGCTGAAGCATGGCCGTGACACCTCTTGCCTTGCAGGTGAAGGTGAAGAAGCACATTCAGCTGATCCTGGAGCGGCTGCTGCACACCGTCAATCGGAGGGTGATCGTCCTGGACCGAGAGAACACCCTGCGGGTGAGTACCACCACCACCGCCGCCGCCGCTTCACGCTGTGTCGGGCATCGGGGCCACACCACTTCCCGCGGCTGCCTTTGGGTGATGTGGGAGATGCAAAAACGTTGCTGATTTAAGGGTCTGGGACTGGGTGACCAATGCTGCTCCTCAGCTAGCACTGCAGCCTGGTACCCAGCTGGCTGGGGGTGGATGAGCAGGTGTTTAATGCAGGAGGATGCATGAGAAAGCCCAAAAAAGAGAGGGGCAGCCATGCAGTTCTGGAGTAAAGGGTACATTGGAAGGAGCAGGCAGGGTGTTTGTGATGCACGAAGCCAATTTTGGAAGCAGATGAGGGGTTTGGGGAGTATTCTCCAGAAAATTAGTGACTGGACCTGGTGAACTGTTGCAGTTTTACATTCCAAGAACACATGGGAGGAATGTGCTGGGACACCCTCCTCTGATGGGAGACGTAGGCAGGTCAGAGAGCTGCTCAGCCAAAGCTTCCTGCAGAGCAGCTGCACTGGGTGCAATGATTTAATCACGAAGGAGGGGGAAACAGAGCTGTGGCCAGTGTGGGTTCATGGGCACTCTGATGTGGATGTGGTGGCAGACCCAGTGTGCTCGGCCGGCAGCAAGGAGTGGGCCTGACAAGCTGCTCTGGGTCACGAGTGTGGGTGAGGAGCTAGGTCTGACTGCGTTCCGCGGGCCCGGAGCGAGTGGTAGGGCTGTGCAGCAGTAGAGAAGTGCTGTGCCGTGAGGAAGCGCCGTGCTGTGCCGTGCTTGGGGGGGTGTGGGCATCTGGAGTGGCAGCTCAGCCCTTTGCTCGAGCCATCTTGGGAGAAGGCTGCAGTTTTGTCGTCCTGTTCTTTGTTCTCATTTATAAAGACTGAACTAAACTGAGGCAATAAAGCCAGCGGGCAGGACAGGGCCTTTATCCTCACTGGTCCTGCCCATGGTCTCCAGCGGATGAGGCCACCCTGGTCTGTGAGCATCCCAGGTGCTGCAATTACTTCCGCCGATGTGCTGAGGCACCAGCATTGCTGCTTCCTGCCCAGTGACCCGTTCTTGTACCCCTGGGGGACAGGGGTGGTGCGAGACCTCTCCTCCAGCTCCTGGCTCAGCCTGCCCTCCTCCCTTACCCACTCAGCCAGTGCAGCCCTGGTGATGTAGCCCCATGGTGACGTTTCCCAACAGCAGCTCTGCTGTCCTGGGGTGGCTTTACTGGCCAAGCCGATGGCTGTTGCAGTTCCCAGGCACAGTGGCCTCGCAGCCAGGCAGTGCCACTGTGCCAGATGCACCCCTGGCTCTGCTGCCGAAAGCTGCAGTGGTGGGGCTGTGCCGGGCGGGCACCGCAGGCTCTCGGCGTTGGAGTATGATTCACATGTGAGTCAGGCAGGAGATGCGTACGGGGTTGCATTTGGTATCATCTTGCTTTAGCCTTTGTTCCCAGGCTGCGTAATTCAGTGCCAGAGGAAGCAAGAGCAAAAAAGAGCTGTTGGGCATGCTCTGCCAGGCTGTGACAGAGGCGAGGAGGGATGCCGGGTGCTGAAGCGTGGCCCCATACACAGTGTGGGAGAAGGGGAGCAATCCTTTGCCTGTGTCTCACTCCCACGTGCTGGCCCTGCTGCGCTCCAGAAGTGCTGTCTGGCAGCTTTCCCGGTGTGTTCATGATTTCCATACTGCTGCTGCAGCCCCTGCTTTCGCCGTGGGGTCCAAGGCCCCTCAGCCCAGGCTGCTCCAGTAGCTGTGGCTGCCAGGAAGGTCTGGGGGGACCAGAGACCCATGTGCTTGCCAGCACCCTGTTGAGCGGGACCAGTGCTGGGCACTGCAGTATCTCCCACAGCTGAGCAGCTGGGACTCCTCGGGACCACTGCCCCCCCTCCAGCCCCACAAGCACCAGATGGGTCCCCGGCACAAGGCATGGGGTTTAACATTGTGATGGCTCCTGCATGTGGGAGTGTTCTGCTCTGGGAGCACTGTGGAGTATGGCACCAACTAGAGAGGTGGTGGCCAGACCTTCCTGTCCTCTGCTCCCCCTCACTGGACCAACCCCTGTGTCTGTGACAGCCGCTTGCTGCAGGCTGGGGTGCCATGTGCTTCCCGGAGGAGGCTGGGCAATGTCCTCCTCTCCAAGGCTGGTGGCCCTGCTGGGAGAGCTGTGACTGCTCCTGCTGCGGGGGGAGGCTGAGGCGAGAGCCCCGGTGCAGGGTGCACGTGGCATCGCCTGGCCCCGGGCTCCAGGGAGCACTTGCCCTGTGGCTCCACACTGATGAGGGGTGGTGAGGGCACGGTGCATCCCCGTGGGCTAGGGGGAATGTGGGGAGCACTTAAAGCACTGTGCTCGGAGTATGTTCACCGCCCACTGCTGCCGCCGGCCACTTTGATCCGGGACCCTCATTAAACTGACGCTGAATTTCCCTTCTCGTGGGCAGCCTTGCAGAGGCTGGAATATTTGAGCTGCTAATTTCAGTCTCCCTGTAATTAGCCAGTGCATCCTGCAGCCAGGAAGGCCCTGCCAGCCAGCTGCAAAGCGGGAGAGGGAATTTCTAGCCCCCACAGCCACAAGCGGCTCCCACTTCTGTGGCATCCCCGGGTACAGGCAGGCTGTGCAGGGTTCAGCCCCCGGCCCCCTAGCCTCACTTGGAGATGCTTGTTGGAAGGAGAGCCATGTTCCCCAGAACCCCCATGTAGCCTGCCCTCCACCCTGGGAGGTCTCGGGGACCCGTCACTCTCTCAGAGACTCTGACCATTTTCCACTGTCTCTGGGGGTGCAGGAGAAATCCTCGGTGCTCCTGGTTAACCTGCAGGCAGCATCCGGGGGGACGGGCAAGCAGTCCACACTATGGGGCACAGGGACAGGCACTGATTTCAGCTGGGGCAGGTGGCCTTTGGGGAGCCCTAAGGCAGACGAGGGCCTGAGACCGCTCTTGCTGAGGGGCTGTGGGTGCCTGGGGCTGGGCAAACACCACAGCCCATATAGGAGAATGGCCGCCAACCCCCTCCTTATCCTCATCCAGAACAGAAGCGCACAGGTGGGAGAGGATGTAACAAAAATAGCGTCTCCGTAGAATTTATTGAATTCTCATTAAATACAGCCGTTGTTCCCCTCGCCTTATTTACACAGGGGCTTCAATACATTAAACTGAACGGTTAAAAATATAAAAGCTGGTGCTACCCAAACCCTACCGTCAGAGGGAGGGAGAGGAGGAAGGAGATGTGGGCAGGGGGTCAGTGCTGGGATGGTGCCCCCGTGCTCCCGGCCTGCTGGGCACGGCTGGCTCACAGGAACCAGAAGCATTTGCGCCTGGATTTCTTTGTGTCCAGCTTGGCAGGCAGCTTCGTCACCGGCGATGGCTCCTGCCTGGGCGGCAGGACAGCCCCCGCCACCGCCGCGGGGGAGCTCGGCGTTGTGTCGCCCTCAATATGGCTCAGCACTCGCTGGAAGCGTCCCTCCTGCTGCCGGAAATCGTGCTCCACGCTGTGGGCGTGGAAGGGGATGCTGTTAGAGGGGCATCACTCACCATGCCCCCCCCCCACCTGCCGTGGCTCCTCATCCCCCTACAAGTCCCTGGGGACCTCACGTCCCCAGGACACCCAGCCCCTGGTGTCCACAGGACCTCAGCACCGCTGTGCTCTGGAGGTTGCTGCACCAGGACTGCACGCATGGCAGGGGACCAGCCTGCCTTCAGTGGCCGTCTGGGAGCCCGTGGTGCAGAGTGGCCTTTTGGACATTTCTCTGGAAGCTTTCTTTCTCCAGGGCTCCTGGCATTTCCCGGTGGGCAGACTTCCTGGGGTCACTGTGCGCCCCTGTGAGGGGATGTCCTGCTGGCATGCCCTTCAAACAGCTCCTGCCCACCACCTTTACTCTCAGAGGCTGTAAGTTATGGGGTTGGTGCCGGATCTGTCCCAAACAGCCATCCCGCCTGTGGCAGTGTGGTCTGCAACTGGGCATGTGGCACCACACAGCTAAACCTGCTGCGCTGGAGCACCCAAGGGACCTCTCCTTCCAGAGGGACAGACTGACAAACAGCCCCCGACCTGGTGGCAAGGGGTACTGTGGTATGGGTTACCTTCAGCTGCACCCCCTGTCCCCTCCTGCCCCTGCCCCTTCTTTCTTATCCAGCCTCAAAGCCTGGTGCTGCTTCTGCTTCTCTCTTGGGCTTGACACTGCTTTTTCCTCTGTTCCACCCGCTCCCCAGAGCTCCTTCCCCCTAAATGAGGACAAACATCTCAAGTCCCTCCTGAGAAGCTGATCTGCTTGCAAGAGGCCTCCTGAAGTGCCAGGGACATGTTCCTGGCACACTGTGCTGGTGGCACTTAGGTGGCACTCAGGCATCAAGCAGATGCCCCAGCTCAGGAGTGCAGTGGCTCCTCTACCCTGACCAGGCCATCAGCGGCAGTGCCTGTTAATGACCAGTGGCACTGCTGCAGGGGCAAGCGCTGGCCATCCTCGGCAAGGCAGCCCTGCTCCCAGCGTGGTGGGGAGGGCAGAGGACGGCTCTGGACATGCCAGGCACCCTGTAGTTGCCAGCCACAGCAGCACGCTTCCCTCACTACCATCCCCTGCTGCCAGACTGCGACATGCTCCCCTGTCAGGACACAGCTGCTGGTGGTGCTGCTCCAATCCCCCAGAGCTGCAGGGTCCCTTCTAGCTCAGAATAACACATGCCGAGACCTTGTTCATGACCTGTCCTGGTCAGGGACCTGGAAAACCACCCTAGCTGGGGACCAGTGCTGATGGGAGGGAGGCAAGCCCAGGGTCTCTGGGACCCCGGTGAGCCTGGAGAGCATGTCCCTGGGGTCAGGGCCCCTTGTCCCGCTGCTGCTGCCACCACCAGCACTGCATCCAGCCCCATGGGCTGAGGGCAGCTGCAGCATCAGGAGGTGGCACAGGCATGCAAGGGCCGTGCTGCTGCCTGTCACACCTCTAGTGATACAAGAATTAGGGCACCCTGGATCTGGGTAGGTAAGGGGGAGCTGTGCCCCCCACCTCCCCCCAGTCCTCAGGTTTCCTGCAAGTGCTGGAGCCCTCCGGTGTCCCCGCAGCACCCCGCAGTGCACAGGCTGGCTGCTGGCGGCCACGTGCCATGATGCTTCCTCACATGGAAAGCGCTCTGATCTCCTCACACCAGCCATGTCCCATCGCATCAGCAAGGTGCTGTGGTGTGTGCCTGGGACCACGCACGTGGCACGGCCACCCCATACACAGGAAGCGCCCACAAGCCTCCCCGCAGCACGTTGACACCTTCTGTCACCTCCTCTCACCTCCCGTCACCTCGCCCTGCGAGGACATTGACTGTCCCCAGGTATTTCTAGGATAAAGGGTGAGTGGTGGCAGAGAGCCCCTTAGCAGGGGGGGCAGCATGGGGAGGGACCCCAACTCCCCAGCACAGAGGAAGGTCATGGGGCTGCTATGGGGGTGCACAGCTGCCCCTGGAACAGGACACAGGCGGGCAGGTCCGCTCCCCACTGTGGGCGATCCTGGCACCCTGTGCACTCTGCTCTTGGTGCTGCCCCCGTTCCCCCCACCCCGTGTCCCACCGGAGCCTGCTCCCATCACACGGATGGCAGCGAAGCCCAGAGGGAGTCCCCAGCGGGAGCCTGGCAATTACAGGGAGCCACCTCCCCTAGATGTGACATCTCTCCCCGCCGCAGTGCCACGTGGAGACAGGCTCGTCAGACCCAATTAGCACTGAAGTCCCCCACGAGCTACAGCGGGGGAGTTTGTGGTGTAAATAAGCAGAGAACAAGAGAGATGGATGCAGCACTGCAGCGGTGGCATGGGTGCGCAGGGCAGCCGGTACAGGGGACACCGATGTACAATGGGGGCCAGAGCTGGCCCCCCCCCCAGCCCGGAGGTGTCCCGGGGACAGTTTGTCTGTCCCTCACACAGGGGCTCACAAAAGCACAGCAGTGGCTGAACTGCCCCGTGCGTGCACTACGAAGTGCTGCTCAGTGCCAGCCCTGCACGCTGCATCCCGCACTCCCGAGTGCTAGCGGAGTAAGCCTAATTAGTAGCAAAATGAGAACACGCCTGGGCCAGCTGCCTGCACATGCACAGAGAGATGGCAGGCTGCGCGGCCAGAGGGGCAAATGGGCACCCACAGAGGCTTGGAGGGGCAGGCAAAGATTTGGGCAAAACTGCAACTTCTCGAGTTCCCACAGGGCTGATGGGGAGAGGGTCCCAGCCACACCACTGCCTACACTGGGAGGATGTGGGAAGCCTTTCCTTGAGACCAAATGGGCTCTGAGGAGAGAGGGCGTTGGAAGAAAGTGCTTCCATGCCCTGACCCAAAGCTGACGCCAGGGAAGCAGAGCCGATACCCCATGGTCCCTGACCCAGCAAGGGGCAGGAACCCCCTGCACGACCAGCAGCCCCTCTGTAGCCTCTGTGCGAAGCTGGCACAGGGACAAAGAGATGCCGCCTGGACTCCGAGCGAGCCAGCGAGCAAACCCACCCACCAGCCCCTAATGAGGCTTTCCCCGATACATTGCTTTTACAGAAGATAAATGCTCTGCCATTGAACTGGAGCAGCTTTCCTTCCAGCTGCAGCCAGTCAGCTGTCCTTTGTGAAAATCACCCCAGCTACTCCTGGGAGTGGGAGCTGCTCTCCGCAGAGATAAAGCAACCAGATTCAGACCAAGTAACACTAGGACCCTGCTCTGGCCTTTTGACATGTAGTAGGAGTTGGCTGCAGGGTGGTGAGGTGCCTGCACCTGTGCCAGGAGCACCAGCAGCACTCCAGGGGAAGAGCTGGCACCGGTGTGCCTGAACGGCTCCTTGGCTGGCCCAGTGAGCCCAGCCAGGTGTGGGGCCAGGGCTGGCCATGCCCCAGTGCAGCTGGAGGGGAGCAGCCCGTAAGCCCTATCTCACTCCTGCAGGTGAGACCCTGCAGCACCTCGTGGGTCAGGGTGCTCTGAGCATCCACCTTGTCATGGGGACAGGAGATGGAGCACAGGTGGGCATGTCCCCTCCATCCCTCAGCATGGTCCCCAGGAGAGAAGACTTGCAACTCCCTCACACCTCTGCCTCGTAGCCAAATTAGGAATCTGAGGGATGGAGAAGAGCAGAAGCCCCCCAGGAATGTGCAGGGTGCCAAAGCTGGCTCTTACCTGTAGATGATGCAGGCACAGTCCCGGCAGGTCCCGCAGTTGGCGATGTCTTGCCCTGTCCGGTATGAGTGTCGCCTGTGACAGAGCATAAGTGCTGTGAGTCTGGACCGTTCTCGGTCTGCCTGTGCCTCCCCAGCCACCCCCAGGCCCCTCATCTGCATCTTGAGTTCGTACTCCAGCAGCCAGGAACTTCCACCCAGTTCCTCTCCTCCCTGTGATCCAGCTTCTCTCCTCCTGAGAGGTGCCATTTGATGCTAGGCCAAGTGCGATGCCTTTCAGCTCCGCAGATTTCTCAGGTGGTTGCAAACCAGAGACAGGCATAGCAGAAGCCCCAGATCCTTCATATCTCCTTTCATCTCCATCCCAGAGCCATACCTTATTCCCGTGGCCACCCCAGGCTGCCATGCATCTCCCCACACATGGTGGCACAGAGGGAGCAAGACTGTGGGCAGCGTAAGGTCTGTGCGGGGGCACTCGTGGCAGACAGCAGTGCCCTGACAGATGGGCAGGGGGAGATGCTCCAGAATAATCACCAGCCTACGCTAAACTCAGCATTTATGCTTTTTGATGCTTTCATACCGGAGAAGCATCCTCCTCCAGGGAAGGTGCATGGAACTCAAATTAAGCCAACAAGTCCCAAAGCTCAGCTCAGCCCCAAAGAAGCCCTCCCCCTCGATCTCTACAGAAGGTATCTGTACCCCGAATGTTTCTGCTGCTGGTGCTGATGCATCCCCAGGCCAGCTGCACCCTGCTCAGGGAGCACACACCGTGCTGCCCTGCTGGGTGAACACCGGCTGCCTGCCCTGCTTCCTGGGACCAGCTCTGTGCTCCAGTCCCCCCATGCAGAGTGAGCATCCCCAGTGTCCCCACTGCCTGCCAGCAGCACATGCCAGCTGCCACCCTGGGGGTGTCCACCAGCTGCAGAGTCCTGGCATCCCAGAGACCAGCAGCCGTGGGGCACCGGGGACTAACAGAGAACCTCTTGCCTGGCCCCAGCGCCAGCCCGATGCTCCACTGAGCTTGGCAGTGTCCACATGCCATTGCCAGCCCTGGTTTTGGCTGCCAGCAGGAGAGCCACCACCTGCCTGGGGAAATGGTCCACTGATCACAGAATTGTCTAGGTCGGAAGGGACCTTGCAGATCATCAAGTCCAACTGTTAACCTCACACTGACAAAAACCATCACTAAACCATATCACCAAGCAAATATCGCTGATGTCCCTCTCCTTGCTCTGCAGCTTCTCTGAACAGAGCTTCTGTGCCTTTGGCTCCGCCACCCTCCCGAGCCCCCAGGGTGCCAGGGCTGTGCCAGGGAGCTGCCCACAGACCCCCACCCACTGGTGGTGCCCCAACTCCGCTTGCTCTCAGAGCTGCAAAGAAAGGACCCTACCAAATGCTTTTGGTCATCCTTGTGGACTCTGTCTCCACATCTCCATTCTCCTTCTTAAGCAGTGCAGGCTATGGCTTTTCGGGAAAAGCTCAGAAAACATCCCCTGTCCCACATACCAGTCACATTTTCCTGTTTAAATCTTCCTCCTGTTACTCGACCTTGATCATGATTGTTCTCAGTCCTCGAAAACTAGGTCTTTTAATGCGCCAAATTATATATTACAATTGGGATTATACTCTTGGCACATAAATTAGATCATGTGTATATATATATATTTATTTATATATATAAAAGATACATATGTATGTGTGTGGGGGGAGTATCTAACGTTGTATAAACTGCGCCTCTCTGCCAGGAGGAGATCTAATCCCGAGATAGGTGTTTGGTGTGGTATATCGCCAGCAGGAGATATCTGGACCCTGTGAGTGGCATGAGGGGTGGTGGCACTGCTTTGGTACACGACGGGTGCCTTGGAGCCACCGCGCGCCTGCAGGACGCTGACCCGTGCCAAATGAGGCCAGGCTGTTCCTCAGCATCAGGACACGAGGATATTTTTTTTTACATGATTTCCTACCCCATTCCTTATGTCTCCGGGCATCTTGTTTGCTCATTTGACTGCAACCGTATATGGAGCCGAGATCTTAATTAAGCTGCCCGCAGTGAAGCTAAATCAGCTTCCCAAGCAGACAAACTCAATCCTGATCGCGGGAGCAAACTTGCCCTCTCAACGGGCACCGCTCTGCACTTACGCTCGTCGTACCCTGCAGGGACGAGGCTTGGCACGGCTGGGGGTCTATGGGCACCCCAGAGGGCAGCATCGCAAGCTGGGGGAGTCACTCCCTGGCCTTTCTCTTCTGAGCAACCACATAGCCCCTGGGGGCAACAGACCCCTGGGCAACCCCGGCAGGTGAGGGGCAAGTGGGCTGTGCAGGAGGCTGCACGCTGATGCCCAGCAGCAGCAGCAGAGATCACAGGGGGAGTGAACCCAGGACCCCATCCCTGGAGGGGGACCTCCAGTGCTTCAGCCACTACAAGCCACTTTTTTCAGTGCAAGAGTGCAGGCAGGGTGCTGGGCTCCCCAGGGAGCCAGGCTGTGCTGAGCTGCTGCTGCTGCTTCTCCTTTGGGGCAAACAGGGCCAAACCCCAGCCCACGCTCTGCTCTCCTCCTGTGTGGTCACCCGTGCTGTGCTGGGGCAGGAGCGGCCAGGGCACACACAAAGCTGAGCAGGGCAGGCAGCTCCTGCACGACCAGAGGGAACGGGTGCTCAGAGCACAGGGAAGGGCCCGTGGGATCCGGCACCCCAGGGCTGCTGGCAACTCCCGGCCAGGATGGGCACGCACGGGCTGCACCCATGGCCAGGCAGCCTGTGCCAGGGAGGGAGCATGGTGCTCCTGAAACGTGGGCTCGCACGCTCTTACTAACCCTCTGTGGGATCCATGCCACCTCTATTGCTCCTAACTGGAAGGAGGTACTTAGCAGTCATTTGGTTTAGATAAAACAATTAAACACATGCACAGGCACCAGGGCCAGGACTACCAGGAGCTGCCCATCTGGCAGGTCCAGATCTCCTCCCATGTGCCACCCTGCCTCCCCAAAATTGCATGCCAAGTCAGACACACCAACACCACCGCGGCACACACCTAGCTCGATGTCCCTGCCAGGCTGAGCGCCTCTCCACCTGTGAGGCCAAACTAACGAGCTGCCAAACTGAGCTCTCCTGTCTCAGTGCCCCAGGCTGTCCCCACGTCTCCCCTCATGGGAGCTGGCAGTCTCAGGGAGTGGGGAATATACCCCAGCAGGTTTTACAGAAGGGTGCCAGGCAGCAGCTCCTCACATCTCCAGGGAGGTTGGTGGTCCTTGTGTGAGATGAGTTTGGGAGGTCTCAGCTCTGGGCCATCAAGGACTAATGCTCCATTTGGCAAATCTACCAGGGAGGCCAAGAAAAATTGGCCCAGGAGATGCCCTGCCCCATGGCCCGTGGAGCAGGTCCTGTGCAGGACAGGGGTGCATGGGCACCTCCTCGGGGCACAGACACATCAGTCACTGGCCGCCAAATGTGCGCCTTTGGTAACTCAAAGGATGGGGCTGAAAGCAGTTGTGAGAAATAGAGAGGCTGAGGCTATCCCCAGGGCATGGCAGGGGGGCTGTCCCTGGGGAATGGCAGTTGTCCCCGAGGCATCCACCATGGCTGGGCTGAGCTTGCAGCTGGGATGCGACGTCCCAGAGCTCTGCTCCCAGTAACCAATGGGCAGGTCAGCTGCATCAGAGCTGAGCAGGGGGCCCAGCTCCCCTCACCCCCCTCCCCTGCACCCTTTCCCTGGGCACGGGGAGGGTACCCTGGGTACATACAGAACAAGCTGGGGTGGGTGAGATATCACATCAAGACATGGTGTCGCATGAGCATGGACAGCAGCTCCAAGTTCCTCAGAGGGAAACGCATCTAGGAGGTGGCAGCACCCAAATCTCTGGCAGGGCCACCCATCCATAGTCCCCCAAGAGACATCAGCCCCCCCCCGGTCCCCGCCTCCATCCCCGGCTGCTCACCCGTCCCGCTGGGCCTCCTTCTTCTCCAGGTCCTGGATGACGTCCAGCAGCACCCGGATGGTTTGTTGGCTGGTCTCCAGCACCCCTTCCAGGGACTGCAGCTGGGACTGCAGGTCCCCCTGCTCCCTGGGCCCCCGGGGGCCCTCTCCCTGAGATGTCCGGGCGTCCTCGTCCCCTTTGGCTGCCACCACCAGCTGCAGAAGGTCCTGGACGTGGCGCAGTGTCTCCGACTGCTCGGTGGTGAGGCAGGGCTGCCCGTGCCAGGGGACCTCTGGTGCCCGCCCGGCCGGTTGTGTCCCTACACTGGGGCCCTGGGGGGCTGGGGGCAGCGGGTCCCTGGGCCCCTCTGGTCCTGCCCAGCCATGCCCAGGCTCAGCAGCACGTAGCCGGCTGCAGACACTGTGGGGGTCTGGATGGCCGAGCGCAGCTGGTGTCTTCTCCGGCAGGGTGGCGGCAGAGCCGTGCCAGCCTGGTGCTGGTGGGATGGGGGCTGGCGAGGTGCAGCAGGGCCCCCCCCACGGCGTGCCGCAGAGCTGGTGCTGGGGTGGCGGGGGGTCCCACGGGGGGTTGCCCTGAGCTGGCTGGCGGAGGCCGGGGGTGTCCGTGGCGGGGATGGTCTGCTGGCGGTACGGCAAGGGCTGGGGCGGTGGGTGCCCACGGGGCAGGCTCCGCTCCGAGTCGCTCCGGCCGAGCCCCCGCGGCTCAGTGGGCGGCCGGGGCTGACCGCAGGGCACGGAGGCTGGGCGTGGGGGAGCCCCACGGCTGCCCCCGGGGTTCCCGCGGAGCCGGGCACAGGCAGGGGGTGGTGGACAAGGATCAGGGACGCAGCTCTGCGCCGGGGAGGTGCAGCGGGCAGCAGGGCAGCCGGCTGTGCCCGGATAAGGGGGACAGGGATCCCTGGGCGGTGGTGGCGGTGGTGGCACACGGCACACCACGGCGTGCTGGGCGAGGGCCGCGGCATGGTCATGCACGGGGAGGCTGCTGGGTGCCCGTGGGGGCACAGCCCGGCTGGTACCAGTGGGCACGGTCACCCCTGGGCACCAGGCACTCCCCGCGGCGGCGGGCAGCACCACGTCCCCGGCCACGTCGCAGACGCTCTTGCTGCGGGGCTGGGAGGCCTGGAAGGGCTTCTGGAGGCTGGGGGAGGTCTGGATGGCGGTGCTCATGCACGCCTTCCTGGGCATGGGCAGCGTCAGCGAGCCCGGCTGGGCCTGGGGCCAGCTCCGCCGGGAGGCACAGAGAGCCGCCGGCTCAGGGGCATCCCTGGGGGGCGGTGAGGCACGTGGGGTGTTGGGGCCGTGGGTGGCCGTGGGCCCTGGTGTGGGGCTGGCCGCCTGCTCCGCGCTGCCCTCCACCAGGTCCTTGAAGCGGACCTGCTGCGTGCGGTTGCGCCGGCGCTTGAGGCGGCTCTCGATGTCAGGGGAGTCGCGGTTGAGCAGCACCGAGCGCACCGTCATGGCTTTCTCCTGGCCGCCCTCGCCGGCGGGGGCCGGGCCGGGATGGGGCTCGCGGCTGACCATGGCTCAGGACCCCGGGGCCGCTGCCCTGCGGCGGGGCGCTGCGGCGGGGCACGGGGGGCTGAGCACCGGTGGCCGGAGCCCTGGGCTGCACCCGTCCCCGGAGCTGCCCGGGGCGGTGGGCGGCCTCATCCCATGCCACCGTGGAGAGGGGATGCTGCTGCGTGGGAGGTGGGCGAGGGGCTGCTGAGCATGCTGCCCGCCGCCTGGCCCTACAGCCCCCAGCACACTGCCCCGACGGCCCTGCCCGCTGCCATGCCTCCCCAACGATGCCGGCAGCCCATGGTCCCGCCGCCGTCCACCCGGGCTCAGCGCCGCTCGCCGTGGGCTGCCTGGGGCCGTCTGTCCCTGCCCATGGCTCCTGGGGGGCGCAGACCTGCGGGGACAGAGAGAGGTGGGTGAGCCCCGTCCCCGCTGCTGCAGCCCCCCAAGGACGGGAGTGTCCCCCATGGGGCCGCTGGCCTCTGCCCGCTCCCTCCCAGCCCCACCATCACAAAATGCAAAGAGACAAGCTTTGATCTCCGGCGCTGCCTCTTCAGCACAAAGAGAGAAGGAAAAAAAGAAACCCCTTTAGCATAAACACGTTACAAGTTCACAGCTCAAATCAAGTGGAAGCAGCTGTTAAAAATAGCTCTGCCTCACTGGGGCTGGTGACTCGCGTTCATGGGGCACTGGCAGTGGGAGGGCAGGTGTGGGGCAGGCATGGGGGGGGCTCTTGTGTGGGTCAGATGGACATGGGGCATCTGCTATATGCAGGGCACTGGGTCTGCTGGACAAGGTGTGGGGTTCCCAACCTGTGTGGGGCATGGCTGGAGCGAGGTCGGGACCTGCTGTGTGTGGGGCAGGGCTGCACTGGGCACACGGGACCCGTCCTGCGTGGAACATGGCTGGACTGGGCACAGAGGACCCGTCTTGTGTGGGGGATGACTGGACTGGGCACAGGGGACCTGTCCTGCACGTGCCACCCACCAGAGGTGTGGGAGGGCTATCTGAGCTGCTGGCGTGGGGTAACCAGCTCCGTGGGCACAGGGTAAGACCGCGGCATGGGGACAGCGGGCCACCTCGGGCAAGTGAGAATGAGCCGTGATGGAGAACAGGCATTGTGGCTAAGACAGCGATTTTGGTGAGACCGGGGGATTGCTCCCTGCCCCTGGAGATAGAGGTCTCCATGGGGCATCGTACCTTCTGCCATGGCGCTGCCCCAGGCAGCCTGCCCAACTGCAGTTCTCTGCCCACTCTGCCTCACGTGCACAGCTCTCGCTTGCAGGGCCACCACCGGCCCCTGGCTGCAGGACCGAGGCCACAGCTCCTGCCTGGGGACACGTCCCTGACACCAGCAGTGCTTCCCAGGGGGCAGAGGGGCAGGACCCGGGGGGGCTGCCCCTGAGCAGGGGCTCTCACACAGTGGGAATCGCACCCAGCCATGTCCCCATCCCTGCCATCACTCACACACAACTATGCAGGTCTCCTCCTCCCGACGCAGGCAGAGCAAACCTCCCTCTGCAGCCCTGTCCTGGCCATACACCCCCCACACCAGCACCAAGTCCCCATGCCCACATTGCTCTGCCTCTCCCATCCTGGTCACCGGCTGCCAGGACATATGCCACTGCAGAGCATGGGGTGCACACCAGGACCCCTGCCCAGGATGCCCCCAGGGAGCAGAGGAGACTAATGGCTCCTTTCGGGAACCAGCACCAAGGACAGGGCAGGAGAGATGGCAACATCAGCCCCGACAGGCAGTGGCACTGCTTCACCTGGCACTTCAGTCTCCCAGCATTTGAGGTCTGCAAACACCCAGAGGCACCTGTGGCAAGGAGCAGAGCAATGAGGGCTACCCGTGGCACAGACTCACATCCTCACACTACGCCATGTCCCGCATCCCCGTGATTGGCACTGGTGTCCCCTGCTCCGGACCACAGCCCACTGCTCCCCCGGTGCCCCTGCACCCTCTTCAGCGCACCGAGACGGAGCCTTTGCGTGCTCCACAGCCCTCCTGCCCTCGTCACAGACAGACACGCAGCCCTGGCCAACCCCCCCAGCTCCCCTCGCTGTCTTGCCTTGCTCCTGCTGTAACGAAGCTGCTGACTCAGCGCAGTGGCCTGGAGTCACCCAGTGCTGGTAACGAGCAAACTTCTCAAGTGCTGGGCGCACCGGTTCCCGGTGCTGCCCCAGGTCGGTGGCTGGGGGCTCACGCAGTCCCCTCCGGCCTCTGCCCTGGCACCACACACCCCGGTGCCTCTGCGCCCCCCGCACGGCGTTAGTCGGGATGCTGCTCCACGCGCCGCCCAGCCGCCCGACGCTTTCCTTTCCCGAGCTTGGAGCCGTGCCCAGACACCGGGAGATGTTTGTGAGACAGGACGCGACGGAGAAACAGCGGAGGGATGGGGCACCTCGTTAGTATGGACAGCAACAGGCAGAGGAGAGAGCTGGCTCGGGGATGGAGCCAGCGCTGCCTGCCCCCGTGCCCCGCACTCACCACAGGCTGCGTGCGAGTCCAGGAGGAGCAGCCCCACATTCATGCCTGACAGCGGGTGCCTGGACCGGGGCACGGGACAGGGCAGAGCCTGACAGGATGGTGAGGGGCCACAGTGCAAGCCCCTGCCCAAGACTCTGCCGCAGCCATGGAGTCACCTCCCCTCGCGGACACAGCAATGGCCAGTGCCCAGAGCTCAGCACCCCCATCCAGGTCCTGCTTCAGCATCCCTGGCCGCGTCCGTGCCAGGGAGGCACATTCCGAGCAGGGCCAGCTGGCACATCTCTGCCCTGGACTGGCCTCCTGAGCACAACTTGGGACCAGTGCAGCCGGGCTGAGTGCTCCCAGAGGGCAGCCTGCACATGACCAGCCTGCTCCAGAGGTTCCCTTAACGAGAGCGCTAATGGGCATGGGGCAGAGAGTGCCAGGAGCCACTCCAACAGCCGAGCACGGGGCAGGAGCGCCACTGGCACCGTCCGAGTGCAGATGCAGCCCCCATGAGCCAGCAGCAGGGACCTTGCTGAGCCACGGCCGACGGCAGAGTGAGACGAGGCCGTTCCACTGCCTACGCAGCAAAGGCGAGGCTGTCAGTCAGCGAGGCCTCCGCCGAGGCACCCTCTGCCTCCCGAACCGCACCGCTGGAGAGATCAACCACAAGGACAAAGAAAAAAGTCTATAAATTATACATGCAGTAACTCCAGTTGGGAACAGCTCGGAGGATGTCAAACACCAAAACCGAGGACCCTCCGAGACAAACCACAAGGACAAAGAAAAAAGTCTATAAATTATACATGCAGTAACTCCAGTTGGGAACAGCTCGGAGGATGTCAAACACCAAAACCGAGGACCCTCCCACTCGTCTCTCTGCGTGTGCTTTACGGTAGAGTTAGATTTAGTGCTGCATCCAGGCGCTGTTTGCAGCGTGCCTGCATCTTCCAGTGCTGACAATGGGTCCAGCTGTAGGATGGAATCAGGACTAGTGCAACCCAGCGGCTGTGGTATCTGATGGGCTCCCCCTGTACTGCAGCTGGATCCAAGGAAACTGCTCTGCTGATGGATCCGTCTGGAAGCATGGCTCCAGGGACATTTTGGATGCATGGAAAGGGCCAGCAGGAAGGGGCTGTGCAGGAAGCAGAGGCACCCAGCACCCAGCTGCACCAGCGTTTTCCAGCTGCTATCCTCAAGTACATCTACTGGGAAATGGCACTCAGCTCCCCGTTCCTGGGGCCACACACTCACACACCCGCCGTGTATTTGGCTACCCCAGGGGATGCACTGTGTATCCAGCACTCAGCCATGCTCCCCGCTGACCACCCCAGTATGGGGACCTGGGCTGTTCAGACTGGAGGAGCAGAAGTAGAGACATCTCCTACTAATGCCACCCTACCCCAGAACAAGGTACCTATAGGTCTGGCCAGTCCTGCAGCGCTGAGAGCTGTCAGGAGGGCAGCACTTGAGAAACAAGGACTCTGAGGTCCAGAACCCAGAGCAGCCTGTTCCAGGGTCTGGTTTGCCAGGAGCCCGGGGCTGCAATAGCTCCTCTGTCCTAGGGGACTATGGGGATCGGGGACAGAGTCCAGCAGGGGAGGGGATGGCTGAAGGAGACCTGTCCTGGCTGTGTCGTGGCTGATGCTCGTCCTCAAGCATGGTGGCTCTCAGGAGATCCCTGCTAGTGACGATGACGAGGAGCAGGCAGCCCTGCCAGCGGGCTCCTGTCTGTCCTGCCAGTGCTCTGCTGGTGAGTGGGGCTGTGCAACCTCCTGAGACCAAAGCAGGAGGTGGGGGGCTGAGCCCCAGTGCTAATTATACATGCAGTAACTCCAGTTGGGAACAGCTCGGAGGATGTCAAACACCAAAACCGAGGACCCTCCCACTCGTCTCTCTGCGTGTGCTTTACGGTAGAGTTAGATTTAGTGCTGCATCCAGGCGCTGTTTGCAGCGTGCCTGCATCTTCCAGTGCTGACAATGGGTCCAGCTGTAGGATGGAATCAGGACTAGTGCAACCCAGCGGCTGTGGTATCTGATGGGCTCCCCCTGTACTGCAGCTGGATCCAAGGAAACTGCTCTGCTGATGGATCCGTCTGGAAGCATGGCTCCAGGGACATTTTGGATGCATGGAAAGGGCCAGCAGGAAGGGGCTGTGCAGGAAGCAGAGGCACCCAGCACCCAGCTGCACCAGCGTTTTCCAGCTGCTATCCTCAAGTACATCTACTGGGAAATGGCACTCAGCTCCCCGTTCCTGGGGCCACACACTCACACACCCGCCGTGTATTTGGCTACCCCAGGGGATGCACTGTGTATCCAGCACTCAGCCATGCTCCCCGCTGACCACCCCAGTATGGGGACCTGGGCTGTTCAGACTGGAGGAGCAGAAGTAGAGACATCTCCTACTAATGCCACCCTACCCCAGAACAAGGTACCTATAGGTCTGGCCAGTCCTGCAGCGCTGAGAGCTGTCAGGAGGGCAGCACTTGAGAAACAAGGACTCTGAGGTCCAGAACCCAGAGCAGCCTGTTCCAGGGTCTGGTTTGCCAGGAGCCCGGGGCTGCAATAGCTCCTCTGTCCTAGGGGACTATGGGGATCGGGGACAGAGTCCAGCAGGGGAGGGGATGGCTGAAGGAGACCTGTCCTGGCTGTGTCGTGGCTGATGCTCGTCCTCAAGCATGGTGGCTCTCAGGAGATCCCTGCTAGTGACGATGACGAGGAGCAGGCAGCCCTGCCAGCGGGCTCCTGTCTGTCCTGCCAGTGCTCTGCTGGTGAGTGGGGCTGTGCAACCTCCTGAGACCAAAGCAGGAGGTGGGGGGCTGAGCCCCAGTGCTCTTCTCTTGCGTGCCCCGCTGGGTTCTGCGCCTGTGGGACATTGAGGTCCTCCCTGGATCTGTGGAGAGCTGCCGCAG